CTGTGTGTAGCAGGACGACATACTGTACATCCCAAACAGGCACGCTAATACATGTAGGAAATCCTTGTTGTACAAACAGCCCACACCACACATACATATAAGACCAAGCAAATAAGGAGGCTCCTTTTGAATTGAAATACTCGACACAGGTAAATAAAACAAGAACAGAGAAGTGAATTGTCTCTTTGTCTGAATTAAAAAGAACGTACAGAAATTCACAAACAGTAGAAGCTCTACATTCAAAGTTTAAATACAGACAGTTCACTTGATATAATACCTGTTAATATGTTTTAAATTACAAGATAGGCTTCACTTATATATATACATTACATAGAAACCATGAGGACTAAAACAAGAGCAGATTAAACTCGTAATAGTAATAATATAGTACAAATGTGAAGCGTCAACAGTGATACATAAAAAGTTAAAATATATTTCTAGCACCATTATGACTCTGCTATTATTCAATAAAGGAAATATATCAATAGCATTGCTCCATAAAGTAGAGCACATTTTGACAGTCACACAAACTTAAGTTTAGAATCTTAAGAACAATGAACTTCTCTCAAAGCAAGTATATAATTATTAATTTCTCAATTTTTAATTCCACACAATTCCATATATTGAGGACTGCTTATATTCCTGTTGACACAACATCTTGATGCTACTTCCCTAACCCTAATATTTTTTAAAAAATGAACTTGGATTTCACAAAATCACAACCAAATAATTGAGTCACAACTAAAAATGAAGTTTCTGTATAAGTATATGACACTTTCACAAAACAAAATGCAAGAGTTTAGCTGAAAAATCAATACGAAATCTACCTAAATCACTACAGTTTACTATGAACAAAATAGTGTCTTCCAAAGGTCTCTTTGACATTAAAGTCCATATAAACAAATTTTCTCCATCAATTTTTAAAACATGTCTGAATCATTGACCCAGTATGCCACACAACAAGTTAAGAAAAAAGGAGCAAAAGCTGCTAAAATATAGCTCAAAATGTTCACACTTCTGAATCACATTGCCTTTCTAAATAACATCCATTGATATGGCTTAAAACTGATAATAATATGAGATACTACTGGGTCTAGTAATTACTAACAAACAAAAACAAACAAAACTCATAATATATGTAATTAGAAAGGACTGCCTTGATTATGCTGACAACTAAAACTTTACAGGAACACTGCATGGCTGGGGTTATAATAATATTATTATGATATAATACAACTGGAGACATGGCGACTTGTTTCACTCAGAGCGTGCGTGCATGCATTTCTTAGAGCATTTTTAAAGCTGAACACATCTTAGACACATAAGGCTCTGACATCTGCAACTGCTCTGACATGCAGAATTCAAGGTCAAATTTTGCTTCAAGAAACACTTGAAGTAAGAACCATGAAACTAGGTTTGAATTTAACATCTGAAAATTCTAGTTGGAAGAAGGTTCTAATGTATGGTAAAACTTTAGACTGTAAAATTGTTTACAAAGTGAGACAATTGACAAGAAAATAAGTACAAGTACTCGACCATCACCCTTATCTTGGGAAAAGGGCAACCTTTCTGTATTGAGAAGCAGTTTTACATGAAATTATAGAAAATGCACTCTTAAGATTATAGTGATACAAATTTTGAATTCTTGACAGAAACTATATCGTGTCTTTCTAATCTATGATGCTGTCACAGGATCAGAAAACTGTCGGTCATCTTTCTCTCTTCAGAAGGAGTACAAAACAAGTACAATTTTCTACATTCTTAAAAACATCATAGCTGATGATGATCCAATAGTAAATTAAGACTGAAAGTATAATGCACGCACATTGAGCAGTACAAGAGACCCTGAAACTGAAAACATAACACAAGGCTAAATAAAAATATTTATTGTTGTTATAATATGTCTTGTTTAGAAAATAAAATCCACTCCGTCTTAACTCTTATCTTCAGGGAAAGACAAGTTGAAATAAAAGAACATTTTAGGAACGGAAAAAGTCACCTCATGCAGCTTGATCTTTGGCTCTCTGATTTCATTTAGCACAGACAAATTGACAAGAAAGAATTTCAACATCCCTGTCCCATGACAACAGGTCAGAGCCAAATTAGTGTTATAGACATAATAACATTTATCTGTTGAATAGGCTACATGTTTCAAATTTCATGAACAAAAGTACTTCCATGGGCTGCACATGAGGAAAAAAAAGGGTTAAAGAGTTTGGAAGGCTTGACATGTAAAAAAAAATGTATGAAATGAAGAAATTGAATTATATTGGAAATACAAAAGGCCCCATTAACATCTACCTCAAGAATTCGTCTATGAAATTAATGTCAAAAGATATCATGGCAACAAGTTTCTGCTATAAGGCTATAAGATATTGTATCCAGTCTCATATTCCTCAAATAGTAGCCTATTCTGTCTTTTGTGGATATGGAGAAGTAAGGAAAGGAAGGAAACGTTCATTTTTTTCCCTCTTCTATAAAACGAGGGCACTCAATAAAATTAGCATGAGGAACTGACCCAGAGGAGCTAACAAACACTGCTGTAATTACATCGCATTTTCAAGAAAGACTTTCGTTACCGGTAGGATGAACACATCTTATGAAAAAAGTCATGAATCCACTCATTTTGTTTTTCAATCCAATAGTTTAACGTTCAACTTGATGTTCACTGAACTGGTTATTCTCCATGATAAAGGGTTGAAAAAAGAATCAAGAATGTTCTGAGGCATTCCCTACTCTAACTAACAAAATACATTTAAAAGACAAAAGTACGGCTATACGCAATGTTAATTTTACACATGCAGCACATGTCTCTGCTCTGAGACTAGTACAACATGAGAGTAGTGGTAGGAGAGATTCATGTGATTAATGCATAGAACACACAAACTGCTTTCATAGTTTTGATAAAAATAACATTAATTCGGTGTAGGGAAGGAATTCAGCATATGTGTGAAAACAATAAGCAATAAATTACATGTATCTACAGCCACAGTTCTCTTGCAGCGTATACAGGGCACTTCAGTATTAAAATAACTCAGCATCATACGATCTTGCATTCGTTAACTTAACTCTTAGTATATGGAAGGCTAGTACTCCTTCGTATGCAACTAACTGTGTCATCAAATCTTCAGCATCCCAAACTATGACTCAGTTCCTATTTGACTTTGTTGAACAAAATAAACGCCAAACTGAGTAAAAATTAATGAACCAAGCAAAAAACATGCGGCATTTAATTTTAATTATAGATAAGATGGACTGGCTGGAGTTTTGTAGATTTTTTATATGACTGTAATCAAACCGAGTGATACAGCCATGAACCAGCAACAACTTTCCGCTGTAAGGCTCATCATATATATATACTAAGAGTTAAAGAGTAAACTATTGATAATGTCAGACACAAAGTGGACCATTCTGGGACGTCTTTTATTCTCTTCAGGAGCCAAAAAATAACTCATCTAAATCATTTTTTTTGCGTCATTGAATAGCAATTTAGGAGTAATCCTAAAGATTTATAGTTATGTCAATATCATGAAATCTATATTTCACCGTCAAAAAGTAAATGTTACATTTGAAACATATCCAGACCTGTCCACTTTGCACCCAACAATATCACTATGTGGAAAAAACATTTCACAAGCAGGCATCTAAGACACTTTGATCACTTGATAAAGCTTTCCAGACAAACTCAGTATAAAATCTTCAGAGTATGTACACGGGTTAGGAAATCATATATATACATTCCAACAGAGGACAAGTCAACTGACAGAAAAAAGCAGACGTGGTCTAAGAGCGAAGCAAGTTTCATCACAAAAGATCTCTTCAAAAGAAGGGGAACTCAGAAAATGAACTATTGTATTCAAGACACAAGGTTCGCTTTAGCAAAATATTACTTTCTGGTGACTTTACTAATAACAAACAACAATGAGAGAAAATGTCTTGTGTCTCCCTTATCTTGTCAAGAACAACTACCACATTAATTTTCGTTACACCTTATCATTTCAAATCTACAGTAGTCTCCGCCTAAACGCACGGTGCTCGGGAGGGCTCCTTAGCGTGTGTTTATACGGAGCGTGCGTTTACATGAACCTATGCAAGGGGAGGAAGGGACGCAGTCATCTCAATTCCTTATTACTCCAGTGACCTCCCTCGGAGGGAGGGGGGTCATTTCGGCAGATTAAAAAAAATAAATAATGTGACGATGCTTGACTTTTGTGATGGATTCCCCGACTGGGGTTAAAAATACATGGGGGAGGGGGAGAAAGACAGACTCAATGCAGTAAATATGCGATATAAACGTCGGGAACAGATAGCCTAAGAGGAAACTGTTGGTGATAGTCATAGAGACGACGGACCGGCCACGTGGCTTTCCAAGCGACCAACCCGATCATAAATTCATGCAGAATCATTCTCTCATTCAAAGAAACTTTTCTCTTGTGATTAGTTGAACAAGTACATTATAACATTATAAGTTCGTCGAGCGCAGCTGATAAGGCTTACTTGTTTAATCTTTAATTATTCCTGTCTAGATCTAGTGTTTTACGGCATTTACGGGTATTGCGCATCAGGCCTAGATCTAACAAAACATTACACCGTCACTCAAACCCCAGTCAGAAACCTTCTCTCAAAGATACATTTCCAGTGACCAATCAAAAAACATTTCATTCCCGCGCCCCCAATCCCCCCCCCCCCCCCCCCCCCCCCCAAAAAAACTTTTCACCGGCCAGTCCTAGATCTCTAGATCTAGATCTATGTGTCAGTGGAAAGTTGGATGTGAAAACGCTGTCCATCACTCTCTTTGTTCGGCGAGAGGGGCACTCTCACCAATTTTCTAGGCTTGTCTTGTCTTACCAACGCAGGCTTTGCAGGTTGTAGTGAAAATATCCCTTTGTCAAGCTTTAGATCTACCTGTTGGCGTGTTTCGCAGATCGGAGCGTGCGTTTAGAGGGAGTGACTGTGCGTTTGTACGTCTTAATTATATAGTAAAAAACTCGTCAGATAACGAAAGCGTGCGTTTGAGTGGAGCGTGCTTTTGTATGGCGTGCGTTTAGGCGGAGACTACTGTATTTTGTTTTCTGAAGATTTTATCCACAGGATGAAGGAACAGATCGAATTTTGGTTTCCATTAAAATTAACCCTTGTATAATAATATTAATACTATCTTTATCTGAAAGCAAAAGAGAGCTGCAAACTTTCAGCAGCACGACATACAAAGTCCAGAGACTTTGCCCTTTGTGTACCATTCAATAAAGCAACATGTGACTTACAGACTCAACTGTCGTCACATCTCCTTCCAAGAGAAAGAAATGGGTATATAAGTATAAAAAGAATTGGCTTAGTAAGGGAGTGATCATGAAGCAAGATGAATTTTCTAGTGTAACATTATGAAAATTATCTAACAAAACCACCACTTTGCTGGTAACCCTGTTCCACTTAGGCCCCAGATGTAAGTGGCATATTAACTCTTTCCATTCACAGTTATTTAATCAATTTTGTATGCCAACATTTTGTATGTAGAGACTGGTAGTGCAGTGTGCGGTGAGTGGGATGGAAAGAGTTAAGAGTTACCGAGATCTGAGCAGGATTCCTTCAACAGTGGGAAGAAAACCCGAGAGTGCTGGGTAGTTCAAGAAGAAGCAACAAACCAAAAAGGCAGGTTGTCTTATAACTCTAAATTCAGTTTCTGAGGAAAAACTATCCGCTACCACTATTTAAATAGCCCTCCATTTGTTACTGTAGGCTCCTCCGTTGTGCAGCAACAAGAATTTACAACACAGCTCAGGACGGAAGAGGAGATTAATTAACCCGAAGTCTGGACTCCATCAAGCGCCACAAGGTGAAAGTCGTGCTCGATGGGGGAGGGGGGAGGGGAGGTACTGAGAGTCCAGTGGTGACATCATTGGTGGTGCGGGCTGGACAAAATATCAGGTGCACTCTTGCTCACACGCACACACGCAGACGGAGGCAAATCTGAAGTTTATTCCCTCTGTAAAAAAAGACCCAGATATTTATGTTAACAGCATGAAATTGAGAGGGAAAGTCAAGCTTCAAGTTTTAAAAAAAACACATAGACATTATGATAAGCATTTGCTACTGAAAAAAAAAAGAGAGACACAAAGGAAACTATAGAATGAGAGAAAAGAAGCAGGACCCACACGTGAAGAGTCCAGTAGAGCAGAAACACAATAAAGTCCATTACAATAACAACAGAAACAGACACAGATAGCAATGACCTACATCATTTGCTCAACCAGTCCTGCAAAGGAAATTCTTATTTGTTAAGAAGTTGTCAACTACTGAATTTTAATTATATAAGTCTTTGATGTTCACTACTTTTGCTTTTTCCTAATTTCTCAGTTTATACCAAAATATTCAAACTTGTCTAGTGACAAGAAGTGTCCGGTGGTGTTTCTGAACAAGCTTGTAATAAGATTGTAGGATTCATTTTCCGTTTGAGTTTTGAATTTGAGTCTGAGTAAAGAGAAGCCCATTGACACAATAACGGTCAATTAGTGCTGGGAAAAAGTAAGACAGACAGACAGAGAAAGTAAAGAAGTAGGACTTTCCAGTGGCGCCCTACGATCACCCGCAAATTTTCTGTAAAATACTTACAGTATTTCTGTACATAGTTTCCAGGAAAAGTGCCAAATTGTCCTGTCCTTGCAGAGGTGCCCACATACCATCCGTCGTCACACTTTTCCATCACAAAGATTTCATCACCTTCTCGGAGTTCCAGTTCATCTTCACTCTGGGGCCTATATGCATATACAGCTCGATATCTGGAGACCAATGGTAAATTATAATATCAGGAAAATAGATTAATTACATCATACAATTGGTAAAAACCAGAAGAAGAGTTTAGTTTTAGTTATAGGAAGAGTTTTACGACACTTGCAATATCAGTTGGTCATATATATATATATATATAAAGTGCTGAAAATTGGAGGTGCTATTAGAGAGTAACATACCAGTACAAAGAACAGAAGGAGAAGAGATACGGGAAAAAGATGTTTCAACGGAAAGAAGGAACAGACAACACCAGAGAGCCTGCCAAATCACAGTAATTTCAAAAACCAGAAAAAGAATGACTAACAAAAAAGGATAGAAGGGTACTGTAAGGTTATATGAATATGATTAATATGAATCAACACTTTAATACAATTTTCTCCGAGACAAAAAAGAAGCGAACTGAAGCAATTCTTTTGCTCTTGAGATACAGCAGGTCAACAGACAGATCTAACTATTAGACTAGAGGAAACAAAAGACATCCCACAAGGGCCAGCCATCATCAACGTGCTGAACTTTAATTCTGAGTAAGGAAAAGATATAAAAATTATTTGGAGGGCTCTTGTAGACTAACCGAAAATTATCAGGTAGAAACACTGTGATCTAAACTTGACTTTCACATTAGGCAGAGCTTAAAAGATATTGCACCTTGAGCAGAGCAACTAGGAGATGACTCTTTCGGGTCTTAAAGAATGACATATTCGTACAGTTTAGTATTTAGTAAAGAGAAACACACCGACATAACAACAATCCCTTGGCACCGGAGAGAAGAAAGACAGACAGAAACAACAGAGAGAAAGAAAAGAGGTAAAACCTATCAGTGGTGTCCTTCAACCACCAGCAATTGGTACAATAAAAGTGTGAGAATGATTAGATTGTTACAGTGTAAAGTTGTGTTCTGGTATAGGCCTATACTAAGTCACTGAAAAATTACCACGTTGTCATTGATCCCGGTGTAGATTTAACAACACTGTAAGGTTATATATGAGGCGGGACATCCGGATTCAAAATCCATCTCCAACTGGGTGGAGAGCCTAAAAATCTCCTCAAACCAACTTAAGTTCTGAACTCCCCATTGGGGATTTGAACCAGGGCCATCTGCACTTTAGTCCTACCACAGTGTCAGGAACAGACAAGCACGTTAGACAGGGATGAGAAATACAGACAACGCGGGAATATCCACCAACCACCCTCCATGAGGACAATCATGCAATCCCACCTTGTTAAAGCTAGGTCATCATCTTTCACTTTGCTGCTACTTGTGGTTCCCATGTTATTCGCTGCTGGGTTTGCCTTGGAGGACATCTCGATGTTCATTTTCGGCATGGTCGGAGCGGACACAGGCTCTGCGGGTTTCAAACGGTCCAGAGGTCCCCCTTGAAAGCCTTTCCTGGCAGTCTGTGGGCTGAGAGTGTTCTTCTGGCTTCCATAGATGGTGATTTCTTGGGGTTGTGGTTGAGAGTCATACTGGAAGCGATGCTGGCCCGAGCTGGCTTGTGAAGGGGGGTAGCCGTAGGAGGGGTCACCCGGCGAGCGAGAGGCAAAGGCGCTGGGGGAGGGCTGGGGAGGTGGGGTGGGTGCTTCCATACTCACGGGGGACAGCATCTCTGGGGTGCCTGTAGAATAGAGTTGGGAGATTATGAGGGATGAAGTAGTTTGGTTCTAGTTTAATAAATGTTTTATGGCACTTGCAACACAAATGTGTCAAGGATTAGAAGCGTTACTAGACAGTAGGCTAATCATATTCAAAGGAAAGAAGGAAGAGAGATCAAGATGATAGTGAAAGAAGGAGCAAAGCCCACCAGAGCACTCATCAACAATCAATGGGGGTGATTGAGCAGATTGGTGGGTTTATGGATGAACATGTGGATTAGTGGGAGTGAATGATAAGTGTATGTTAAGTTGAGAGGATGGGTGGGTGAGTGAAATGGTAAATGGGTAAATGGGAGAATGATTGAGTGACTGAATGAGCATGTGAGTGGGTGAAGGGTGAGAGGGGTGAGAAAGTGAATTGGTAAGTGAGTGAGGGTTTAGTGAGTCAGTGACTGACGGAGAGGTATGTGAGCAAAAGGGTGATTGGATGAGATTCAAGAATGATCACAAAAAAGAAAAGAACCAGACAAAGAGCATGTTTTCAAAAAAGGAAGCCCTGCTCACAAGCTAGGCATGGTTAATGCCCTGAAAAGCTTGTCAATGTTACAATTGATCCTTGTCAGAGTTGAAGCTCTGTCCAACTACAAAATTATTCCAAATGACACCTCTTAACTGACCCCCCTCTTTAACCATCAAACATAACAAAAAGATAGCAGAATTGAAACAAGTCATGAATAAGTTAGTCCAAGACGCAGGTTAGATTGAGCTACTCTGAATATCTCATGGGCCAAAGCAGGAAACAATAATTTACATAATATTTGTTTTCTATTCGGTGAAATCAGTTGAAATACTAAAGCTTTCAAAAGTGAGACTAAAACTGCCAATAAATGTATCTATAAAGCCACTTCATGAGATAAAATACATGTATTTGACATACGTATTCAAGCTGGGTTAGACACTATTGATTCCAATTTTCAAGACTTTTTCTGCTTTGGTAATATTTGGGGGGTTAATAATTTTTCTTGGACAATACGAACATCCTCAGGAAAAAGATTTACATCTCTAAACCTGTGTGTTTACAAGTTATTGTTCCTGCAGTCCATCACAGATCCCTTGACACTTCTAATATTGTTGGAAAAAGTAAAAAATCCAGAAAAAAAATAGTTTTGTTTTTACTAAATATCAACTCACGGCAGACCACGTTTATTATCAATTACTGGGTCGACTTGTGGGCCACACTGAATGCTCATAGGTCGGATTTGGCCTGCAGGCTGCAGTTTGCCTAAGTCTGCTCTAAACTCACCAGTCATTGGGGTGCATATGACAGAGGGTGCTGGTGTGATGAGTGGAGTCGACGGCTCACGTATCACCTCCACGTATGTGACCGGGAAGATCCCTTGGCGACCTCCGACCTTGCCTTCGAACCAGTTGTCGTCCACTCTTCGTAGCAAGGTCACAAACTCTCCCTGAAGTTTTGAAAAAAGGAGGAAGAAACACCCATCAGCAAATATTGAGAAAAAAGGTTACTGATGAAAGGAAAGTATGCTATGATGAAAAGGAGAAATAAGTAGCTAAATGCAGACAGACTAAAAAGTACTAAATCACACAGTATGTGACTTCCAAAGTTTGCATGTCCTTGGAAACTGTACATTTACATTTTAAGAGCATTTGACCAATGGTTTTCAGTAAAATCCACTCATAAATATATTTTTAAGTGGACGTAAAATGTGCTGAATCCAGAGAAAAAAAATGGAAAAAATATTGCTCTACTGGTGAAAAATCTGATTTCAATGTTTGACGAAAGCCTGATTTCACCACAATACCACACAAACACTTCATAGAAACACTAGTACAAAGCATTCACCTTTCGCAGGGAGAGCTCAACTGTTGACTGTCCAGTGAAATTGTACTTGGCACGGGCCTGGCCCTCTGCATCCAAGGCTGCTGTTCTGGCAGCTTCGATAGAGGTGAGGACCTGGGTGCAGAGAAAAGCATAAACATAAACAAAAAACCCTTTAAAAAAAAAAATCCATCTCCTACTTTGTAAAAGTTGGTAGGTTGGTGTTTTATTAGTGACTTTTTAATATTGTAGCTCTGTTAACTAAAGATGAAAAATGCAAAACGTAATTTGAGGAAGAAGTATTGCGACTTTCTAATATAAGTTGAAAGTTCTACAGAAGTTTTATAGTGCTCATTTCTAATATACAACATCGAGAGTTCTCATGTCGTTTGCTCCTTCTTTCCTATCAAACATCTATCATCCTCATCTTCTCTCCTTTTTTTCTTTGTATGTAACTCTCTCGTGATACCTCTACCTCTAATAATTAGCACTTAATATGACCTATATACATGTTGCAATAAGTGCGGTAAAAATGTAACACCAACTAAACTGAACTAAATGACATTTTCTATAGGTCGTTTCCACTATATAAGCCTATATATGTCTGATGCCGTGATTTCCTGCAGTTCCTCCATAGCTCTCACCTCCACATAGTTGACTGGGAAGATGCCAACCATTCCATGGTGCTCTCCCTCGAACCAGTTCTTGTCTATTTGTCGAAGCAAGTACAGCAAGTCTCCTTTTCTGAATGAGAGCTCCCTGAGCAGGAAGGAAAAATCAAAATCCCCAAATATTATTTGTTTTTTTGAGTGAAGCGAAGCCCATCGACACAATATTGGTCATTTGGTGCATGGGAAAAAGTAAAATAGAAGGACAGAAACAAAAGAGGGAAAGAAAAGAAATAAGAACTACCAGAGAAGCCCTTCAATCACCTAACAAGTACTGTTTTGTTTATTTACTGCTTATTATTAGGTCACATATCAGCATGGTTCTTAACTGTGACCACAAAACTTTCCTTGGACATATCTCCAAAAATAATTTTTTTTAAACAGTCAGTCTCACAAGCCTATACTCACCTTGGGTTCTGGGCAGTGAAGTTGAAGATGGCTTTAGCTTTGCCCTGTATCTGGAAGCCTCGCCTCCTCTCTGGGGGTACGCTCAGGGTCGCGGTCAGAGTGGATGTCTGCACACCTGCTGGTGACCGGGCGGCTGCCTGGGAGGAGGTTTGTTGTCCTGGTCTGGCTGCAACAGGCTCTGGAAGCTCGTCAAAGCGGTTCGGGGAGATGGGAGATTTCTGGCTGGGGCTGTGGGGAGATGAGCTTCATGTTAGTAAATTCAGAGAATAAAAAACAAACAACTACAAGAAACAAAGAAGAAACAAAGAAGAAACAAAGGGGGAAAAAAGTTTTATAAAGGTTGATTCAGGGAGCAGAGAGAAATTTTTAAAAAAGAAAGGGACACAAAAGGCAGGAAAAGGGGCAAGTTAAAAATAATTATACCGAAGTAGGAAAAAAGATAGAAAAAAAATGTCAGACAGTGAGCTTTTTGTCTGCTAAAACAACAATACAGGAAGACAAGGGGGGAAAAAAACCCCAACAAAAGTATGAGCAAAAATGAGTTAAACCTCTCTATTAACATTTAATATTCGAGTTGTCTGCACAGCAGTCTGGCATTATACCAACTGGCTATCAGCACCCACTCCTTCCTCCCAAACCCACTCCTCCCTTAACACAATATTCCCTTGGTTTTGAGTTTGAGTAAAGAGAAGCACATATTCACATTGACACAATAATGATGTATTTTATCTTATCTTACAATAACGGTCATAATATAGTGCCGGGAAGAAGCGAAACAGATAGGCAGAAACAACAGAAGAAAAGAAAAAAAGTAAGACCTACCAGTGGTGCTTTCCAACCATCTAAATTCTCCATGGTATGCACGTCTCTGTTTTAATAACAATTTTACCACTCTTGCAACAGAATTTGGTCATATAAGCACTGAAAATTAGACGTGTTGCAAGAGAGTTACAAACACAAAAAATAAAGGGGAGAGAAAACTGGACGATAGACATTTGATAGGAAAGAAGGAGAAAACCATACAAGAGCACCCGCCAATCACCCACGCAGGACTCTGAAACTCACCTGAAGTAGTCATGGTGCCTCCTTGCTGCGTCCTTCTCCGCCTCCAGCTGAATCCTCTTCCTGCGCTCTTCCTCATACAGTTGTTCCTGAACACACAAATGGCAACAGGTCAAGATCGCACAATGAGTTTTGAGTGCAACAACCATCTCATTCTGCTTTTCTTTCTTTTTTTTTTTAAAGTTAACTTTGAGTAAAAGTTTTACAGCATTTGCAACGGTTTATTTTTATTGCTGTTGTTTGTTTTGTCTTACATGAATAAATGCCCAAGATTTGAGATGTTACATAAGAGGGACAAACACAAAAAAGGAGGAAGAGAGATAATAGATACTAGATTGGAAAGAAGGAGCAAACCACTCCAGAGCATCCGCCAAGTACCCGCACTCATTTTGTCAAATTGCCACAGTAATAGTCAAAGTGAAATATAATCCACGCTTCGCGCCCCACAATCGACGACCACAGCATGCAGTTTCCTGTAATTGTAAGACTTAAATTGCACTAGCTGCAACCCCACTGTGACCCCCATGGTGATCCCTGATGTTGCGCACCAAGTCAATCAATTTAATAGAGGGGTTTCTTCTTTATCATGATTTTATCTACGTTCTTACACCCTCATCAATACAATTTAGATCATTTAGGAGGTAGGCTTCAGACTTTGCTTTTCAGGGCCTACTTGGGATGAGAGGGAGAGATACAACATCCCAGCAGAAAGACGGAGATACTCAATAAAAATTTTTCTCCCCAGTTGGTAATCCAACTCAGGTCTCGTGCCTGTGACAGTAAAGCATCTAACAGCTGCACATACATGCCGGTGGGTTTGTTCCGAATAAGTAGCCCACATGTAGAGATAATGAACAAGTTACATTCCACTTTATTGATCCCTGCGGGGGAAATTTCATTTATAATTGCACACATGAACACATAAACACACCTGCATATATAATATGTGAATAAATTTTATGTACAACAATTCATCGACGTTACATTATCTACTCTAAAGACCTAGATTGCTAAACGATTCTGGTGGGACGGTCTGTTCAGGTATCATTCAATGTTAAGCATGACAGCGGCTGATTTCCATGATTTTGAGCTTAAGAATTAATCAAAATCATTGTAAATTTCGAGTGATATATATTATTATATTTATGTATCATTGTAAAACACTTCCAAATTACGTCATACCGTTCCAACTATTTCACTTTTTTAAAATACGAGACATAAGCCTCAGCAGTTCAGTGTAAGTTCAAAGCCGTACAGAGAAGAACAAACGATTTGGGGGTGGTTTTTTTTCGTTTTTTGTTTTTATTGTTGCTGTTTGTATGCTTGTTTTCTTTTCTTTTTTCTTTCTATTTTTTTTTTCAGAAAGGGGGTGGG